AGCTAAGAGTGTTGTGAACAACACCACTAAAAGAGCTAAGATGTGTGAACAACACCACTAAAAGAGCTAAGAGTGTGTGAACTAGACAACTAAAAGAGCTAAGAGTGTGTGAACAACACCCACTAAAAGAGCTAAGAGTGTGTGAACTAGACACTAAAAGAGCTAAGAGTGTGTGTGAACAACACCACTAAAAGAGCTAAGAGTGTGTGAAACAAACACCACTAAAAGAGCTAAGAGTGTGTGAACAACCACTAAAAAGAGCTAAGAGTGTGTGAACTACACCACTAAAAAGAGCTTAAGAGTGTGTGAACTAGACCACTAAAAGAGCTAAGAGTGTGTGAACAACACCACTAAAAGAGCTAAGAGTGTGTGAACTAGACCACTAAAAGAGCTAAGAGTGTATGACTAGACCACTAAAAAGAGCTAAGAGTGTGTGTGAAACTAGACCACTAAAAGAGCTAAAGTGTGTGAACTAGACCACTAAAAAGAGCTAAGAGTGTGTGAACAACACCACTAAAAGAGCTAAGAGTGTGTGAACAACACCACTAAAAGAGCTAAGAGTGTGTGAACAACACCACTAAAAGAGCTAAGAGTGTGTAGAACTAGACCACCTAAAAGAGCTAAGAGTGTGTGAATAGACACTAAAGAAGCTAAGAGTGTATGAACTAGACCACTAAAAGAGCTAAGAGTGTGTGAACTAGACCACTAAAAGAGCTAAGAGTGTGTGAACAACACCACTAAAAGAGCTAAGAGTGTGTGAACAACACCACTAAAAGAGCTAAGAGTGTGTGAACAACACCACTAAAAGAGCTAAGAGTGTATGAACTAGACCACTAAAAGAGCTAAGAGTGTGTGAACTAGATCACTAAAAGAGCTAAGAGTGTGTGAACAACACCACTAAAAGAGCTAAGAGTGTGTGAACAACACCACTAAAAGAGCTAAGAGTGTGTGAACTAGACCACTAAAAGAGCTAAGAGTGTGTGAACAACACCACTAAAAGAGCTAAGAGTGTGTGAACAACACCACTAAAAGAGCTAAGAGTGTGTGAACAACACCACTAAAGAGCTAAGAGTGTGTGAACTAGACCACTAAAAGAGCTAAGAGTGTGTGAACTAGATCACTAAAAGAGCTAAGAGTGTGTGAACAACACCACTAAAAGAGCTAAGAGTGTGTGAACTAGACCACTAAAAGAGCTAAGAGTGTGTGAACAACACCACTAAAAGAGCTAAGAGTGTGTGAACTAGACCACTAAAAGAGCTAAGAGTGTGTGAACTAGACCACTAAAAGAGCTAAGAGTGTGTGAACAACACCACTAAAAGAGCTAAGAGTGTGTGAACAACACCACTAAAAGAGCTAAGAGTGTGTGAACAACACCACTAAAAGAGCTAAGAGTGTGTGAACTAGACCACTAAAAGAGCTAAGAGTGTGTGAACTAGACCACTAAAAGAGCTAAGAGTGTGTGAACAACACCACTAAAAGAGCTAAGAGTGTGGAACAAACCACTAAAGAGCTAAGAGTGTGTGAACAACACCACTAAAAGAGCTAAGAGTGTGTGAACAACACCACTAAAAGAGCTAAGAGTGTGTGAACAACACCACTAAAAGAGCTAAGAGTGTGTGAACTAGACACTAAAAGAGCTAAGAGTGTGTGAACTAGACCACTAAAAGAGCTAAGAGTGTGTGAACAACACCACTAAAAGAGCTAAGAGTGTGTGAACAACACCACTAAAAGAGCTAAGAGTGTGTGAACAACACCACTAAAAGAGCTAAGAGTGTGTGAACAACAACACTAAAAGAGCTAAGAGTGTGTGAACTACACCACTAAAAGAGCTAAGAGTGTGTGAACAACACCACTAAAAGAGCTAAGAGTGTGTGAACAACACCACTAAAAGAGCTAAGAGTGTGTGAACACACACCACTAAAAGAGCTAAGAGTGTGTGAACAACACCACTAAAAGAGCTAAGAGTGTGTGAACAACACCACTAAAAGAGCTAAGAGTGTGTGAACAGACCACTAAAAGAGCTAAGAGTGTGTGAACAACACCACTAAAAGAGCTAAGAGTGTGTGAACTAGACCACTAAAAGAGCTAAGAGTGTGTGAACAACACCACTAAAAGAGCTAAGAGTGTGTGAACAACACCACTAAAAGAGCTAAGAGTGTGTGAACAACCCACTAAAAGAGCTAAGAGTGTGTGAACAACACCACTAAAAGAGCTAAGAGTGTGTGAACTAGACCACTAAAAGAGCTAAGAGTGTGTGAACAACACCACTAAAAGAGCTAAGAGTGTGTGAACAACACCACTAAAAGAGCTAAGAGTGTGTGAACAACACCACTAAAAGAGCTAAGAGTGTGTGAACTAGACCACTAAAAGAGCTAAGAGTGTGTGAACAACACCACTAAAAGAGCTAAGAGTGTGTGAACAACACCACTAAAAGAGCTAAGAGTGTGTGAACAACACCACTAAAAGAGCTAAGAGTGTGTGAACAACACCACTAAAAGAGCTAAGAGTGTGTGAACTAGACCACTAAAAGAGCTAAGAGTGTGTGAACTAGACCACTAAAAGAGCTAAGAGTGTGTGAACAACACCACTAAAAGAGCTAAGAGTGTGTGAACAACACCACTAAAAGAGCTAAGAGTGTGTGAACTAGACCACTAAAAGAGCTAAGAGTGTGTGAACAACACCACTAAAGAGCTAAGAGTGTGTGAACAACACCACTAAAAGAGCTAAGAGTGTGTGAACTACACCACTAAAAGAGCTAAGAGTGTGTGAACAACACCACTAAAAGAGCTAAGAGTGTGTGAACAACACCACTAAAAGAGCTAAGAGTGTGTGAACAACACCACTAAAAGAGCTAAGAGTGTGTGAACTAGACCACTAAAAGAGCTAAGAGTGTGTGAACAACCCACTAAAAGAGCTAAGAGTGTGTGAACTAGACCACTAAAAGAGCTAAGAGTGTGTGAACAACCCACTAAAAGAGCTAAGAGTGTGTGAACTAGACCACTAAAAGAGCTAAGAGTGTGTGAACAACACCACTAAAAGAGCTAAGAGTGTGTGAACTAGACCACTAAAGAGCTAAGAGTGTGTTGGGAACTAGACCACTAAAAGAGCTAAGAGTGTGTGAACAACACCACTAAAAGAGCTAAGAGTTTATGTGAACAACACCACTAAAAGAGCTAAGAGTGTGTGAACAACACCACTAAAAGAGCTAAGAGTGTGTGAACAACACCACTAAAAGAGCTAAGAGTGTGTGAACTAGACCACTAAAAGAGCTAAGAGTGTGTGAACAACACCAGACAGATTCGCGGGATTATGGGTTATGGGACGAGCAACGAGACTGGGACGACCCAAACCTACCTGACGACCTTTTGAGATCCCGGAGAGAATGGGAGGCGGAACTTCCTATGGTAGCAAGTATTTCACTACCCCGCTGTGTCACATCTTCAGACATTAATGATTCCCACAACACCAGACAGATTCGCATCTTTTGCGACGCTTCCGAGCAAGCTTACGGATCTGTAGCCTGCCTACGTACTAATGATGACAGTGGTCGTATTCAATTAGCCTTTGTACTAGCGAGGTCCAAGGTCGCCCCAAAACGACGTCTGACGATTCCTCGACTAGAGCTTCGTGCTGCCCTGAATGGTGCCCAATTAGCCAAACTGTTGAAAAAAACCGAGCTCACCGTCGAGATGAATACAGTGACGCCATGGACCGATTCCACCGCCATTCTAGCCCGGCTCAAATCTGAATCATACCGATTCAAGGTGTTTGTTGGAACCGGGATAGCCGAAATTCGAGAGCTGACAACTGAATGTTCCTGGCGATATGTGGATTCCAGCAGTAATCCAGCCGATGACCTGA